CGCGCGCCAGAAGGCCGAGATCGCCGCCTCCAGGTAGGACCCGGCGTGGGTACCGATGGGTTGGGCCCACTTGAGGAAAGGGGTCCTGGGACTGGACCACCTAGGAGGCCATGTCTCCACAATGCTTCTGTCCCCCCCCCCCCCCTTTTAACCATCAGAACATCTTCCAGGATCTTTAGAGAGTTCATTGGAGGCGCTTCGGATCTGGTGTCACCTGTTCTCCCTCAATTACCCCCATCCACCCATTTACCAACCCCTCCATACACTTAATCCTGCCATTCACCCAACCTTTCTAATATTCACCTGAACAACCAATCTTCACCAAACAATCCACCCTACCCACCCACCCACTCCACTTTCTGTTTATCAATCCAGCTACCCAGTCACCAACCCATCCACCTGACCACCCAGATACCCATCCAATCACCCAGTCACCCATCTGTTCACCCAACCCCTCCATTCACTCAACCTCTCCATCCATCCTACTCAACCTCTCCAACATCCATCTGAACAATTACCCATCCACTCAACCATTTCTTCATCCACCCATCCAACTTTCCACCTCTTTACCTACCCAACCATCCAGCCACCCAACCATCTAGACACCCATCCAAATATCCAGACACCTTTCAACCACCCATCCATCTCCTCATGTACAATGACCCACATTCACTCAACTGCTTCCATCTACAAGGCACCCATCCTAATATCCAATCATGTTTCCATCCACTGAAACAACATCCACTTCCACTCACCCAGTCATCCATCCATCCTTCCATCCATCCATCCATCCACCTCCATCTCCCAACCATACTTCCATCCAACCATCTATCCATACTTCCATTTACTCGACTACTCTCACCTACCCATATGCCAGCCCTGCCTTCATCCATCCTCCTTGCATCCATATTCTAACATCTTTATGTCTTCTCATTGTACTTCAGAAAAAGTTCTAATGTTGTCTTCAAACATTTACAGCATCTACTGTGTGCATGGCCCATTTTAAATGGTTTATGAATATTGACTCATTCTGTTTCCTTAAGGACCTTGTAAGATCGATATTATTTTTATTTCCATTTTACAGATGAGCCAAATGAGAGATAAGGTGGCTTGTGGCAAATCGTCCATGTAGTAAGTGGCCCTTCATAATTGAGTTCCTACTTTCCCATTCAGCCTCCTTTTCTACCATTCTTGACCTGCACCTGGATTTTTTCTCTGTGCTAGTCATGCTGGCCTTTTATCAGTCTTCTTTAGTTCTCCTGCCAGCTTTGGTTCTCCTGGTCCCTCTGTCTGGACAGCTCGTCTTTCCTCTTGCCCCTTAATTCCTACTTCTTCAGAGCTCAGGTCAAGCCTGAACCACTTAGAGAGCTGATGGTGCTCAGTCCCTGTCACAGATCGACTATTACTCAGCCACATGGACATCTTCTTAGAATGTCTCACAGCAGCGTTATGCTGCTTAGGTACTTGTTTTTAACCTACCACTTAATAGAGGGGTCCCTATGCACCAGTCATCGTTCTGAGGTCTTTACGGATATAAATTCATTCTATCTTTAACAGCTCTTGATGAGGTAGGTACTGTTGTTATTCCCTTTTTGCAAACATGAAGTGAGCTGCAGGGACAGCAGTGGGTGTGGCAAGACAATCATAAAGGTACTTGCCTGTCCAGTGTCTGTAGCAATCCTGCCGGTGGCTCTACATGGACTGGGCTGGAGGCTGTGACACTGTGGTCTTCAGAGTAAAGCAAACCTAGGGTCAAATCTTGGCATTACATTTTTTAGCTCAGAGACTTGGCCAATCAGTTTGCCTGTCTGAGCTCAGTTTCCCCATCCGTGGCACCACTGCTTCTCAGTTGTGTGTTCTTGGACAAATCAGTTTTCTTCTTCAATCTCAATTGTGTCATCTATTCAAATGGGGTTGGTCTAAGGGTTGAGAAAGATGGGTGAGGTCCAGTGGCTGGTTCATACCCTGTAGTGGGATGAGTTCCTTGGTAAGCCGACTTCAAGATGGAGATTAGTGTGCTGGAAGTTTCTGGGGAGTGCTCTGAGGACCAACACTTGTGGGGAAGAGAGGAAGCAGGATTGGGCAAAGGGAGATGGGGCAGTCCCCACAAAGGCCTATGCCAACTGCAGGGCTGTGCTGCAGTGGAGATGATCTTCATAGTCAAGTTGAGGTGAAGGAGCTGGATCTTCACATCCTCTCTGCTGGATGCAGGCGGCCCTCTGGAAAGGGGCATGACCTGGGGCCGGACGGTTCTCTTCAGCCAAGGGCAATCCCTGGACAGGGCTGACAGCCGGCAGCACTCTGAGCAGCTGGGGGTGGGGTGTAGAAATAATGTCAGTCCTGAAGGGGGAGCGGGGTGGCACGTGACAGTATCCATTACAGTCTAGACACCTAGCAAAGGCTCAACAAGCCTTATTTGTCATGGTTGTCATTCAGTGTATTCATTTTACAGATGTGGGAACTGAGACCCTGAGAAGGAATGCAATATGCTCAAGACCACCTGGCAAGCAAGTGGGAGAACCAGGGCTTCAGCCCCTAGCTCTCTGATTCCAAGCTCTCCCCAGCACATCTTAGTATCGCTAAACTTTGTAAACTTTTAATTGTTGTGAACGTGTGAGCAGTTAGTAACACTAAGACAGAAAGAAGGTATGGGTAATGTTCATAAGGCTTCTTGGTTAGGGGCAGGGCCAGGCTGATGACCAGGGTGATCATATAATTTGTTGTTTAAAATCGGACACTTTTATGAGTTAAAGGGGGCACTTTTAAAAAATGAAACTTACATATTAGAATAATTTTAGATTAAATAATTTTAGAAAAGTTGCAAAGATAGTACAGAAAGTTCCCACAGACCCTCTGCCCGGTTTCCCCTAATGTTAACGTCTTACATGACCACAGGACATTTGTCAAAGCCAGTTTGTTCATTACTAGTAACTAAACTCCAGACTCTGTTTGAATTTTACTAGCTTCCCACTAGTGTCCTTTTTCTGTCCCAGGATCCCATATTGCATATAGCTGTCAAGTCTTCTGAGTGTCCTCTGGTTTGTGACAGTTTCTCCGTCTTTCCTGTTTTTCTTGACCTTGACGGTTTCAAGGAATATTGGTCAGGTACTTTGAGAATGTCCCTCAATGCTGTTCTCATAATTAGACTGAGGTTATAGATTTGGGGGGAGAAATAAAGTGCCCTTCTCATCACATCATATCAGGAGCACATGATCTCGATATGACTTACCACGAAAGACGTTGACCTTGATCACTTGGTTAAGGTGGTGTCTGCCAGGTTTCTCTGCTTTAAGTTGCCATTTCCCCCTTGCCGTTCTCTGTTCTTTGGAATACATTAAGTTCAGCCCATCCTTGAGGAGGAGAAGGTTCTGGAATGAAGCTCCAGACGGAGGAGTATCAATATGTATTATTTGGAATTCTTCTGTAGGGAAGACTTGTTCCTTCTTCCAAATGGGACATTTTATTTATTTATTTTTATTTATCTTTATTGTTGAAAGTATTATATATGTCCCCTTTTTCCCCCATTAACCCCTTCTGGCCAGCACCGTCCCCCACCCCAGGCCTTCACCAGGCTATTGTCTGTGTTCATGGGTTATGCATATGTGCATGTAAGTTCTTTGGTTCATCTCTTCCCACCCCCACCTTCCCTTTGAGATTTGACAGTCTGTTCCATGCTTCTACGTCTCTGGATCTATTTTGTTCATCAGTTTATTTTGTTCTTTAGATTCCACACATGAGTGAGATCATGTGATACTTGTCTTTCTCTGACTGGCTTATTTCACTTAGCATAACACTATCCAGGTCCAATTGGGACATTTTAAATTATTGTACTAAGTGTATATAGTTATGACAGGCATAAGCAAGGACTGTCCTGGGACATGGCAGAGCTTAGAATAGGTAAGAGTGTAGGCTCTTGACTCGAAAGGCCATGAGTTGGAATTCTGGCCCTTGCACTGAAGAGCTGTGTGACCTTGCCAAGCTGCCTCACCACTCTGAGCCCTGGATTCTCGTTCCTCCTAGTGCTGTTTTGAGGAGTAGGTGAGCTAATGCCTGTGAAATCCTGGCACAGCGCAGCCAGCGCTGAAAGCAGTCATTGTCATCATCTAACATGTTTGATTTTAAAAGTGAGGGAAAGATGCTTGGGGACAAGGAAGGATTTCCCCAAGCTCTCACCTGTTGGGGCAAACTCTTGCCCCTCCCTGCCCCTCTGCTTCCCTGCCCTTCTGCCCTCGGATGTGAAGGTGTTGAGCCCCTCTGTGAAGGCTGCCAGGCCCAAGAATAAGAAGGTGGTATCCAGCTCGCTCCACACGGTGCTGCCAGGAGGAAGTGCAGGGGACATTTGGAGTCCTCTTGTGTCTGAGTAACTTGTCCTGTGTGCCATGCGGGGCGGAGAAGCGGGGAGGGGGAGTGGGGGAAGGGGGGGGAGGACGACTACTACAGCCTGGCTCAGTTTAAGCTCAGAAGAAATTTCCAATTAAGGAAACCTTTGGGATAGGAGAAAAAGCAGGGTTGTCTCCCTCCTGGGGGCGTTGGTGAGGAATCGGGCCACAGAGGAACAGAAAGCTTACCCTGCAGCCACAGGTCTCCTGGGCCCTGGCAGGCGGGAGCCGGGGTGGGGGGTTGGGGGTGTGGGAGTTCTCTCCATTGTAATGTCAGGCTCCTTGCCCCGGGCCTACCTAGAACTTGTCAGCTCAGAGTCTAGGATTAAGATAGCTTTCCCAGAGGGAAGGAAGGAAACTGGGATGTCTCTTCTCCCTAAAATGGGCTTGAAGAAGATCCTAGACCTACACTGTCCACCAGCCATAGGTGGCTGTTGAGCTCTTGAAGTGTGGCTGCTCTGGATGGAGATGCGCTTAAGATAAGCCCTGGAAATTCCCAAGTTTAAGTGTGAAACAGGCACTGGGGTCCATAGACTTAGTAAGAAAAGAATGTAAAGTAACCCATGAATCATTTTTTTATATTGATAACATGTTGAAATGGTTCTATTTTAAATATATTGGATTAGATAAAACGTATTGTTATAATTAATTGCA